GGGGGGGGGTTGTCCCGTAGAATTTCAGTAGAAAACACGCCCTCAGAAAGGTCTCTGAATCTCAGGCATGGGCGGAAAAGAACAGCTGTTAAAGAACCGAATATTATAGGAATAATCGAAAAATCGTGCTCAATTATGTTTGAGGGTTAGTAGTCAAATGATGGCTACAAAATTTTTTATGTTTCATGGCTTACTGGGGTTGGGGAAAAGACGGCCCGGGGGCGGCGCGGGCCGGCGCGGCGGCATTAAGTGAAGCTCATGGAGACTGTGTGCTCTAGCGCCTTGCGGCGGAGGGAGGCGATGCTCGTGCCCCGCCACACGTCGCTGCTGTCCGGGGAGCTGCAGAGCTGGGGCGAGCCGGAGACGTTGCTGGGGCCGGGGAGGGAGGCGGGCACCATGCCGGGGAAGGCGGGCTGGTAGAGGTGCGACTGCAGCCCCGCGCCGTTGGAGCCCGCCAGGCTGTTGGACAGGCCCATGGAGTTGGGCGGCGGCCCGGCCGCCAGGCTGCACTGGGACAGCGACTGCGCCATGGCTTGCTGCCGGCCCAGCGCCGGCGGCAGCGGCAGCTGCGACACGCCCGGCATGGCGGCCGCCGCCCAGCGGGTGTCGTTGGCGTGGAAGGAGCACAGGCTGTCGCCCATGGCGGCGGCGGCGGCGGCGGCGGCCGACGGGAACTGAGGCAGGCCTGGCGTGGGCAGCAGCGTGCCCGGCGCGCGGAACACGTTGGTCGTCTTCTTGCGCTTCTTCCACTTAGCGCGCCGGTTCTGGAACCAGACCTGGAGCGGGCGGGGTGGGAGACAGACAGGGCGCCGTTAGCGGGCCCGGCGGCCGGGAGGGGCGGGGGCTCGGGCGCGAGAAGCCCGCCTCAGGTACGCCCACTCAGCCCCAGGCCGAACAAGTGCCATCGGCCCGACGCGCCTCCACACCCAGCCAGAGACCCTGCTTCTCCGACAGCTCGAGGCAACTGGCGCCCCTTGCGCCCACCAAGTGTCGACTCCCGGGGTCCTGAGTGATCGTGCCTCCCGGAGCGCTTACTCACAGCGCAAACACCACCGTGTGCAGTGTTCTCCACGCCCCTGCACGCTGGCACATTCTGTGCGCTGCTTAGTTGCACAGGTCTGCAGGCAGGCATGTGTCAAGGCTGGACCCACAGGTGTACAAATGAAGATAAACATGTGTACCCATGTGGCTTAATAGCGCGCCTTATAACACTGATGGGGTATAGAATTTTCAGAAACGCTGGAAATTTGGAAATTGATGAAGGGCCATGGATGACATAGCTACTTTCAAAACCGAAAGACAAAGGAAAACCCCTAACGCCACGGATGACCGAGCGGAGAGGTTAATATCGTGATCCGTGTGGGAAAGCGAGCGCCACTGAGCTACAGCCTTGTTTGGGTCGCCGCCGTGACTTCTGATTCGTAGCAACTGGCACTACTGCCACAACTCTCCGCGCCTCAGTCTCAAACCCCTCTAAGAGCCCCTTCATCTGGGCTGTGCAGGTATGCTGGAACCTGCTGCCGGAGCCCTGAGCCCCAGGGCCTTGCAGTCTATTCTTTTCGGGAACTTACTGAGGATCCCAAATAACGAGGCCTCCCATTCCCTCAAGTCTCACCCGCTTCATCCATAAACTGAAAGCAGATTTTCTGACCACTGCAAATTAAAGATCAAGTTTAAAGCTCACACTAGTTATGAATCGAATTTAATGTTGGTTAGACAAACCCAGATGTCTTTTTAAAGGAGATGTGTTTGATAAAACATACTCCAAATGAAAATAAGCCTCCTACTCTTCTCTCCTAACAGTGACGCTGGAATTTCAGACCTTACTAGACAAATTTGCCTACGAATGTCAAATTCACTACCACTGGAGAAGGAAAGGTTCTTCCTGAAAGGTATCAAATAAGCTGTCTGACCAGGATAACCTCCCATCTCCCCATATTTGAATTTGATCTTTTTAAAAATAATAATAATAATAATTGCCAGCATGCCTACCTGGCAGGCTTGCAGTTTAATGTGTAGTCGGTTGGAGGTTTACTGTGCATAAATATAAACGATGTGAGACAAGCTCAGGCACTGATTGAGTTTCCTCTTAGAATTTGGCCACCGTAATTTGAACACCGTATTCGGCCGAAAGGTTATTCATCGGTTAATCCAAGCTATTTAGTGTTTATTCTGCAAGCTAAAGTATCCTGAGTATGGACGTACCTGACCCCGTTCTCGGGGAGCCAGCTATGCACAGCGGTGTGTGTGTGTTCAGACCCTTGCAAGTGGAGACACACTCTACGCCTGCCAGTGTGAGCGGCATTGCATTCTAGAATTCTCGCCCGCCTCTGGGCCGGCCCTGGCCTTTCTACCGTACCCGCGCCGTGGCCCACCACTGTATCTGTCTCTGATTTCTACCCTATTTCCCTATTTTCTGCCTACCCCAGTATCCGGATTGGGTAAAGACACCGGGTCCCTTCCCTGCTAAAGCCCCTCGAGCTGGTGGCGCGGCGGCTTAATGAGGCAGCAGGACCCTAGGTGGCGGCTGGGATCAATGCTGCCGGCCGCGGATTGAGCCGTGAGCGGCTAGCGGCCTCGGCCGAAGAGTAACCCGCAAGAGCCGAGGAAAGCACAGCGACGAGACCTGCGGGCACGGGTCGCTTTGCATTACCCACCCAAGGCTAGACTGGGGGGAAGTAGACCGGCTGGAGCCCTACACAGGCACGGTGTCTGTGTGCAGACGACCCCCACACCTCACACTCGCACTCATATATTTTGAAAGATATCTCCTAATTTAAAGACCGGTTCCTAACACCCTGCAAGTGTAGTGAATTCCGAAATGTTTGAACTTTTGGGGCGGGAAGGGGGGGGCGGAGAAGGGTGGCGGACAAGTGCGGGGGAGTGGGGAGAGAAGCAGAAGAAAGGAAGGGGGGGGGGTTGTCCCGTAGAATTTCAGTAGAAAACACGCCCTCAGAAAGGTCTCTGAATCTCAGGCATGGGCGGAAAAGAACAGCTGTTAAAGAACCGAATATTATAGGAATAATCGAAAAATCGTGCTCAATTATGTTTGAGGGTTAGTAGTCAAATGATGGCTACAAAATTTTTTATGTTTCATGGCTTACTGGGGTTGGGGAAAAAATCTGCATGGGGTCTGAGCACCTCCGTTCCAAGCTATGATGCATATGTTTTTAAAATGTGAATGTTTCCACTTGAAAACTAGAGCATGACGGATTAAAATGCAGGCAAAACCTAAGGGAGATTTTGAGAACGCACAGATGACAACTCCAGGAAATATATTAACCGCAGCCACGGGCCAACTTTGTACTCAGTTGAAATGCAGCTCTTCTCAGAAAATGCTTAATACAACAGTGAGAATCTAATGGAGGTTGGAATTTAAAAATCCACTTTCATGATATCTGCTGTTACAGTAATATAGACATACTGTAAATGTATTTTAAAATATATAGCCCGTTTAATTCCCCACCTATAAATGGCTCAGAAATAGAGAAAGAGAGGGAGAAAGAGAGAATATTACTTTTTTTCCCCTCGAAGCAAACGCTTTATGAAGATCTCATTGGAATCCTGCAAATGATTAATGTGAAGATTTGGGAGGAAATCTGGGGAGCTGTATTAAAGCCTAGATCTCAGGTTCATTTCGATCAGCCAGCCGTGAACTCTGGGCCGAATTCATTACACTTTAATAGTGCTGGGAGAGGAAGAAAATGCAATTTCTCATTCCATTAGAAAACTAGAAAATACTCTCAGCTTGTCCCCCTATTAAGATGTGGCAGGTGACAGGGCCATTCTGGGGGACACGGTCAATGGAATTACAGCACATTATTTTTCTTCGTATAAAATATTGAAAGGCAAGCCTGACTGTGCAGAAGTTATTTCACTGATTTGGTTTTTATGTAAATAAAATATTGAAAGTTAATTAATCCGTGCTAGAGACTAATGATTATGCTTATTATATTGCATTTGATCGCATAATTTGCATGATTCTCGCATTGCTGCTTAATAAGCCATTCCAGGTTATAAATAATTCTGAAATTGGTTTCTAATAATGGCATGCTATAAAAGGAATGGTTTTATTACACTAGCCAGAAAAGGGGAGCGATATTAGACATGGGCTTGGCCTCCATGTGAGTAGAGGTGCTTTAATAAATACTTAAAAGTATGATATATACCAGATATAGATGAAAATAAGTATGTTGGATCATTTAGAGTAGGATCAAAAAGCATCTTTAAAAACATACAATTGCAATAAATTAAATGTTTAGATCATTTTTAATCAGCGCAGTGGCCCCCGTACTGAAAAGAATGTGTGGCAATCTGTTAACTATAAAGAAAACTGTGAAGTACTCATCATATAAGAACATAAACCAATTACTATTTAATTTGAATTTGGTCAAGGAGCAATGGTACAGTGAATTGTGAAGTAAATACATTTTCCATAAATTATTTTTGCATTACATTACATAATGTTAATCATTTTGAAATGTTAATTAAGAAGGTTATGTTGATCTGATTACTTTTTAAACTATGGAACATTATTTTTAAAAATATTGAAATTGCCATTCTATTAAGTTGTTCCTATCAGCAGCTTCAAGCTATTATCTTTGGTTGAACATTATGCTAGAACAATTAAAGTGCTTTGTCTCTTTCTTCTTGATTATTCTTTTGTGTACTTTTTAAAAATACTGTTCCTATTACACAGTTTGTATTTTATTTCATTTACTACTTTTTCTATTAAAAGAATCACTACCATTAACCTTTGGAAGATCTAATCAAGTTTAATAGACCTCGTTTTCTTTTTTCATAAAGTCAGTTGTCCAATTATATTTTATTTGTGATTCTAAGTTCTATTTTAATTTAAACTAATTACCAGTATATCTAGGTTAAGCAACAGCATTTTACTCTCTAAAACAAAAATTATTAGGTAGTATTTCTCTTGAGGGACAAAAAGCAAATTTATGAATTTTGAGCTTACAAGATTTTGACAAGCCAGTATCATTAGCAGTAATGGAAGTATTGAAATTGTATATTTCTGTTAAGGTTTGAACTCAACTTCAGATTTAAAAAGGGATTCGAGGTAAAAAATTTTAAAGATCATTAATAATGTATGTCTGCACAATGCAATTAACACTCTTTTGGTGCTTAATTTCAATGGCCCATGGTTCGGGGCTTCCAGAGTTTACTAATGAAACCACCCAGACTTATATTGAGAAAAAATGTTAATCTATGTTATACCCTGAATATTACTTTATTAATTTGACCACTGTAAGTCCCCAAAGACAATCATTTGCTGACTATTTAGAACAGAAGCATAGACTATTTTTCCAGATTGGACTGTCTTTAAAATGCTGAATGGAGATAGACATATTCAACACCGTCATTATAGACACCCTTGTCTCTTACTTCTTAGATAAAATGTAAAATAGGTGAAATCTTTAATTTGTAAAAGTAGCTAGACCTGAGGTTGACATCCAGGAAAGGGACAAAAAAAAATACCACATCCAAGACAGGAAAGGAAGACTTTCAGCACCCTGGATAGCTCAAGCCTAAGTGCGCTTGAGCGCTTGATCTGTCCACAAAATATTTGATATACTGTTTTCATTCTTTTAAAAAGCGAAAAAGGTCTAAAATTCATTGGGCTTATACTTTTATTCCCCAATTTTCAGAAAAGTTATAGGTGTCATTTTCTAAGTTATATATAATTCACAACTTGGAGGGTAGTCGGACAGAACAAGGGGTCAGTAATGATTTCGTCTACTACCTGTCAATCTTTCCTGCCCTAAATGTCCTTTCTTCAAATCGTATATCTACAACAGAAAACCTTCATTTTTTCCCAGTTTCCTTTGGGGAAAACCAGGGTTCAGAGGCTGTGGGGGATAGCTCTAGCCTCCCCCAGCGCATTGGTTGACCACCAAAGTTCAAACCCCTTGCAAACATCAAGGCTAGGGGTATTTTGCCTGAGAGCGGCGGGAGGGTGATATTCAGGAGAATAAAGCTACACCGTGAAACCCAGGTGTGGATCTTTTTTTAAAGGTGCCCATTATGCCTTATTTTCTCCCTTTACATGTTTTCTGTGTAATTGTTGCATTCCCCCATTTATCCAGACATTTAACACAAACTCATTAGGGGTTAATGAAATACTTGTCAATAACGTAAACTGGGGCGTTAGAGTAGAGGGAGTAGGGAGTAGAGGCGCGCGCCCGGCTTAGCCGCTTGGGAGACTCGGAGCGGAGGCCGGGAGACGCGGAGGGTAGGAGACGCCGAGGTTCCCTTCTTAGGAGGAAGGAGGCGACCTAGCAGTCGAACAACGCCGGCTTCGCTTTTCAGGAGTTTCTGCGGGGATGTGCCTATACTGCCGGGAGATGGGGGCCCTGCCTGTCCATTGCAGGATGGTGATCCGGCCCAGCTCCCGGGCAGAGGAGCTAACATGACCCAGGAAGGCATAAGCAGCCAAAGCGCAGCCCGGGATCCTGGCAGGAGAAGGAAAGACTCTGCTTCCTTTGCCCAAATCCTCCCGCCCTCTCCTTGTCTTCTGCCCCGGCGTCCAGCCCGACGTACCTGCACTCGGGACTCGGTCAGCCCGATACGCAGCGCTAGTTCCTCGCGCATGAAGATGTCAGGATAGTGAGTCTTGGCGAAGCTCCTCTCCAACTCGTTGAGCTGCGCGGGGGTGAAGCGCGTCCGGTGGCGCTTCTGCTTCTGTTGGCCCTGCTGCTGGCCGGCTTGGCTGGGGTTCGGGCCGCCTTGGGGCCCCGGCTGCTTGTCCGGGTCCTTTGCGCTCACTGCCAGCGAGGCCGGCGTAGAGCCCACTGTGGTGATGTCCTCCCCGGGCAGCAGAGTGGCTCCCTCGACTGGGTCGGAGTTAGGCGCTAGGTCCCCCGGATGGCCCCCGGGGTCGGAGCCCCCCACGCCCAGCCTACACTTCACCGCCTCCCGGTGGCCCAGAAGCTCGGCGGCATCTTTCATACCTGAGGAGGCAAGGGGATCGCGGTCACTACTTTCCTGGCGATGCCAGGAGGGACTGTCCTCCTGGCGAGGTCCTCCTTCAGCCCCATCCTTGGCTCCCTCCGTGCCCACGTTCACCCTACGGAGGAAGATCCCGGGACGCTCCGCTGGGTTCCCCAGGATTTGGACAGCCAGGTGGGAATACCATCTCCCGGCCCTTTCCCCTCTCTCCGCAGCCGGCTCCCGCAGCAAACGGCGCTCGCTTTCGTCTCTCCTATAATGGAACACTCCGGTCCCGGCAATGAAACATGCCGAGGGGTCCCTTTCATGAACCGTACCCCTGGCGCCCCAGGAACCCGAGAGCATGTCCTCGGACCGGAAAAGAAAAAGGGAAAGGAAAGAAAGAGAGAAAGAAAATTAGACGATTGCCTGGTTGCTGTCCCACCTGCGCTTAGGCAGCCTGACGAACTCTCGCTCTGGCCCTCAGCGATTCCCTCTCGCTTTCCGAAGATGAATAAGTCTCCAAGCCTTCCACCCCCCGAAATCAACCCAAATCAGCTCCGCCTCCCCCTCAAATCAGAGAAAGTGTTTGGAAAATGGAGTCACATCCATCACCAAAGATTCCCAAACCGGAAACCCAGAGCCCAGCAGTCCAGACAGCATTAAGGAAACCCGAGGAAACCCTATAGACATAACAGTGAATCAAACTTGAGAGAATTCAACTTTTCTTTCCGGAGAAATAAAAGGCTCCTTCCTCTCAGCCACCGGCAATGCCGAATCTTTGCAGGCGGGATGCCTGTGAGGATGAATTTGGCGTTTCTCCTTTTTCAAGGAGCACTCTCAGCAAATCCGCTTCCATTGCAGCGGCTTCTCCTTCACGCCAGATTTTTACAAATTCAACCATACTTAGACGAGAAGGAGAGAAGGAGGTAGTAGAGAGAGAGAAAGAGAGGGAAAAAAGAGGAGAAAGAAATCCCAAATCAAAGCAAACAGGAGGGGAAAAGAGAGAAGGAAAAACACCTCCAAACAAATTATCACGAGGTAGATCGCCTTTAAAAAAATAATAATAAGAGGGAGGGGGGAAGTGGAAAAAATAAGAAAAACAAAAAGTAACATCATTTCTCAACTCCTTTTTTGGATCTACATATTCCATAGATTTTTTTTTAAAGACGATGTTAAATCAAATTAAACTTTAATGCAACACAATTACTTTTAAAGAAATTAGTCCATTTAGGGCGCATTAAGGTAAAATAAGGAACAAATTGACAATTTCCTGCCCCGGCTTCTCCTGGCCGCCGGGGCGAGAGGCGCGCACTCACCTAGCCTGGCGTCCAGGAGGTCGGCGTGAGACAGCATCGCGCACCGCTCCAGGGCGAAAGCTGTTCCCCCCCAAATTTTAGCGGCTTTAAGTTATTTAAAATAGATATAAGCTATAAGCTATACGATATAGATATATATAGATCACCTAAATGAAAGAAAATTCGGTTTGTGGTTAAAAAGGGGGCTTCTTGCATTATAATGTCCTTTAGAGAGACGGGGAGGTGCTTAACAGTTGAATGAACCCGTGAGCAGCTCGGCGAGGGGACCAATCAGGAGGGCAGCCTGCAAATGTCAGCGCCCGGAGAGTCCCCCACTCCGCCCGCCCGCCCGCGCCCGCCCGGTGGAGGCGGCGGCGGCCCTGGCGGCTCCAGCCCGAAGCAGCAGCTAGAGAAGCGGCGGCCGCCTCGGCCTCGCCCTGGGCTTCTGGGCCCGGCCCGCGTTAGCTCTTCCCTGCGGTCTTCCTCAGGCACACCCTTCCTTCTCCTTGTCCCACCCTGGTCGCTCCAAAGGCGCAGCTCGGTCTCTTTGAGCTAGGGTCTTTCTGGGGCTGAGGACAGAGCAGGGCATGACCTCCGCGTGACCCGAGAGTCGCCCCCGCCCGCGGGATCTGGGCGACACTGGCCTGCCGCTGGCTCGGGCCTGCCAATCAGGAGCACAACGGGGCCACACCGCGGCCTCCAGACCGCGCCTCGACTTCGCGGCCGCCCCGCGGGCCTGCGCCTAGAGTGCAGACACCCTGGCTGGGACCCCGGGCCTACCGAGTCCCAGCCCCGCGGCAGGGTTAGAGCTCAAAAAAGGAGTGGACTCCCCGCGCGCTTCCAGGGCCCGCGCGCAGTGGCGATTCTTGCGCTTTGCACCCTGCCCGCCCGGCGCTCGCCCGGCTCCCGCTCCTCCGCGGGGCTCACGCGAGCATCCTGGCCCATGACCCGTTCTTTTGGTCCAAGTTTCTAAGTTCAGCTTGGCTTCCAACTCCACTTAAGACTGTAAATAAAGTTAAATGCTCTTTATTTTCCTCTTGAATATGTTAAACTACTTGAACAATTTAAAGTGCTTTGCACAAGTGAAGCGAACCATTTCTAATGTTCTGATTTTTCAGAGCCAGCCAACAACAAAGTTTAGATTAGTAATATATTTCTAACCAGAGTAATTTTCAAGATCATTAGGCATTTATGTAATTAGTGCCAAATCTATAAGCTTTTATTACGATTATTAGAGTAAAATCAGTATAAATTTGTACTAATTTACTACTGTTTAGACTTGGCTGTCAAGCCCAGAGGTTCTTATTGTAAATGATAACTGAGGAAATTAAGTGCAAAATTCTGTACCATTTCTGATCTGCTCCTAAACAATCCGTTTCAATTGTATTTGTAGCAGAACATAATGCCCTTTTAAAGTTATTTGACTTGTATTTTTATTTGCAACACAAGAAAAATGCCCTTTACCCAGGCACAATAAAAACTGATATTTACTACTCTCAACTTGATTAACATTGATTTTTAATTCAAGAGTGATGCAATTAAGATTATTCATTTAGTGCAAATAAAGCTTCCACAAAAGGGTGGCCCTATGAAGTCTGTGTTAATACCGAGCAAATGGCTTTTTTTGTTCGCCGTCCAATTGACTTACACAAAACATTGGAAATGCTGCCTGCGAGCAGATGCGAGAGGAACTGTGTGTGTGTGCGTGCGTGTGTGTGTGTCCTTAGCCGTGTGACAGGGACCGAGCAAGGAGACAAAGGAGGCGGCAGGGCGAACTCTGGGGCAGTTTTGCTTCCTCCTCCTCTCCTGCAGCCCGTTCCCCTCCTCCCATGCACACACACGTGCGCGCGCGCACACATGCACACACACGTGTTAGTGCCGGGCATCACCCACACACGTTCCTTCCGAGCTGCGGAGACGGCTTCCCCAGAAGCTCTGGGCCTTGTCGAGCTTCAGCGGCCGCCGCAGCTGCTGCCAACGTGGCCTCTGTGGGACATGGGCGCCGGGCCCGCAGGCTGCGGCTTGGCTGAGTCCGGGCGGCGGCGGCGCGTTTGGGAGCCGCGAGGGTGTTCGGCAAGCGCCTAGTATCCTCTACGAGAAAGGCTTGGCTTGGGAGGAGAATCCTTAGACCTAAAGCAAATAGTCCCTCCAATAAAAGCTTCCCCTTCCCGGAAACAAAACGCCAAATCTAGAAGCTACAGCGCGGGGCGCGCGCGGCAGGAGGCCGGACAGCAGCCCGGGGCGTGGCGGCGTGCGCCCAGGACGTGGTTCCCGAGCGCGCACCTGGCTGCACGTTCCGGGGGACTCGCCGGGGGTTTGTGCCCACCTGGGTGGGGCTTGTGGGGTATCCAAGACCAGAACGCAGGGGCAGAGGTGGGGAGAAATGTCAGAGCAAGAGACAGAAGGCCTGGCAGCGGCACCCCGCTCCTCCAAACAGGCAGGTCCGCGGAGGCCCGCACTGCGGTGGCTCCGAACCCTGTCTGGAGGGAGGGAGGAGGGCCGCGACCTGGGGAGCGAAGGAGAAGGGCGCGGGGCCCCGAGTCTACACGTGTGTGCACACAGGCGCTCGTGGCCTCATCCCACAGCCGCCCCTGGAAGAGCCGCCGGCCGTGCAGCGTCCTCCCACACGCACTCGCTCGTATATTCTGTTTTGTTGTATGTTTCAGGTCGATAAATAAATGTGTAATAGTTAATGTGAAGACACATCAGAGTAATAACAATGGGACGAAATCAAAGGATTATCCATCTCTGTTAGTAACCGCTGAATAACAATGTTGCAGCGTGATTGATAGCCCGCTTCATTTTATGACTTTTCTATTGGTCTTGATTTTTATAGCAGTATAAACAAACTAAATCATTTCTTCCAAGACTTCAGAGCATAAGCATCTGGGGAGGGGGTAGGGATAAAGGAAAGGAAAAAAAAAAGAAAGAAAGAAAGAAAGGGAAATCGGAGAGTGGGAGGGGGTAACGGGGGTCGGGGTGGGGGCGTCGGGGTGGGGAGGGCGCAAGCTGGAGCCGGAGCCGGGAGTGCGGAGCCGGGTGCCAGCAGGCGTGGCGAGGAAAACGACAATAGTCTGGATGTAAGATGCTCGCGCCGCGCCGGGTTCCCTCTCGGCAGCTCGTTTCGGCCAATGTCTGAATCCACCTGGGCAGCGCCTGAGATGTATTTACCAGAGTTTTATTCCCGTCATCTTCCCACGTTCCTGGGGCAGCCGGGAAAGTGCCGGTCAGGCCCATTGCTATTGATAATTTAAGGTATTTCCCACATGATCATGGGAACTGAAGTCCCTAACAAGGCGAGGCTTGAGCGCAATGGCCCCCAAATCTTCGGAATGACAAGAATGTCTTCAGAAATCACTTCAAAGCAAAGTAAAAGGATTTTCTATGACGGATCCAGTGATTTTTCCTCAATAAATAGGTTTTAGATTGTTACACACACGTAGAAGTGGAACAAAGGGAACTACCAGAAAATATATTGGTTGCCCCTAATAAAATTTATTTAGACAGTTTACTTCTCATAAAAAATAGAGATTGAATTTTGTACAAGAGCCTGCCAAGGGGCGATGCACAGGGAAATCATTTTTTTCTTTCTCCTTTCCCCCTCCTCTTCTTTTTAACGAAGCACAAAGAGCATTTAAAGGCCAGGGAACCCGCTCCCACGGGGCCGTGAGCCCAGACCGAGCCAGAGAACTTTGTAGTTCTGAGAGAAGTCAGCTTTCTGGGAGAGATATCTATTTTTTAAAAAACCAAAACCTTGATGACTTATGTAAACTACAAGCACAGCAACCACAAAATCGGTGTCTTTCCTCCCGCTTTGCCATCCTGGCCCAGAGCAAGATTTAGAAATATAGTGTGGCTGGATGGGGAGGTGGGATGGTGTGGGAGATGCGGGTAGCAACTGTCTTAATGATGGATTTATGCTGATTAGGTTTGTAATTCTGATTTTCTTTTTAATTGTATTTCTATGTTCATTGCGAATCCTTTTAGAGACAGAGAGAGAATAAAAATATATACGGGGTGCTCCTGAAGAATTGGGTAGTGTGCCCAGCGCCCTAATTGCTTTTTCCACTTACAGAAACCTCGGGTTTTTATTAAATGTAACTTTCGGCTGCTTGGGTTGTTTGTAAACCGCTCTCTTTTCTTTGCAGACAGTGGGCTGAAATATGGCGCGTTATTATTCACATTCCTGCTATTAAATGCTGAATTGTAACATTGTTCCCTTTAATGAGGAGCGCCTCCCTCAATAATTAACGATCTCACATTTTCCTATTTTCTTGCCTGATGAAAAGAATCAATTTTAATTCGTGGTAAATTACAGCCATGCTTTTGGGTATTATTTGCTTACAGAAAACAAATCAAGTGACTTGAACACTCCTGTTTACTTTTCCAGATATGCAGTAACCCAAACGCAATAGCAAATCAGATCGTATTCCTCAGGCCTACCTTAGAACCTCAAAAAGAACAAAGGGCAATAGTGGGTGGGGGCAATAATCGAGGAAAAAACAGGAAGCTCTCAAGTCCACTGCGTTTGTGACAATGGGAACCACTTTCTCCCATATCTTGCCCCAGGTTCCAGAAACCAAGCTCCCTCAGCCCCCACCCTCCCCGCCTGCCCGCCCCCCCCCCAGGGGTCGGTGGTCCACATCTGGTCACACTAGAGTTTGGGACTGCTTGAGGTATGGCTCATTTGGAGGCAGTCGATTTGAGGGTGGGGTGAGTGGAAGGAAGGTGATCTAGGAGGGCAGCCAAGACTCTGGGAAGGGGTGACAGGCGCTTCCACACTTCTCTGCATAAACAACTCTCTCGAGGTTCCCAGAAAAAAGACCACAGCCCAAGAAGCCTCGGCCGAGTGCTCCCGCCCGGCCGCTGCGAAAGCCCCCTCGGCGCACCGTCGGGGAGCGGCGGCTCTCCAGGACGGAGTGAGCGCCTTTAACCTCCAGCCAAACAGGCCCGGGCCCAGCCCGGACGTGCATTCTCCAGGCCTCCCTGGGCCGGGAGCGCAGGAACTCCGGGCCGCTCTCAGCCAGGGATGTCCGGTGGATGTCGCCGCGGGCCGCAAAAACTCACCACCTTCAGGACCCGGGCTCCCCAGCCTAGGAGTTAAAAGCCAACGACTCATACTCCAGGCTTTTTTGTTTGTTTGTTTTGTTTTTAAGCGCAGGGAGCAGGGGCTGCGTGT